TTCCATAGTTTATTGTTTTTAGTAACTATCTTGCTGTATTGGGACCTTATTGCTCATGTTATGTCTTTAATATATCAGTAAAGTTATGTAAATCCTTCTGTTATTACTTATTTTTTAGTTTTTTTGTGTTTTTTTTTTTTTTTTTTATTGTAATATGCATTTTGGCCAGATGTTATGTTAATTTTTATGTATAATATTGTTATTCTCAAGGGACTTTGTCCAAGAATAAAGTTGATTCTTCTATTCTATATATATATTTATTTTTTCTGTTTGTATTACAGACCATGTAGATCTTTTGCCACCTTAACAAGTATGGTCAATATCTGCCTGTCTTGCGCTACTTTTTTCCATTTATCTGCATGCAGCTCTATTATGTCTTTGTTGATTCTATCTATCCATCTGCTTTTTGGCCTTCGACGTGGTCTTTTGCCTACTATTGAGGCTTTCATTGTTACTTAGGAGCTACATGGCCCGTCCATCTTTATCTCCGTGCCTTCATATCATGGGAGATTGATTGACCATATTTCTGTAAGCAGTTCTTTATTGGTCTTTCTTCTCCATGTGTCAGTACTCTGATCCCAGATATATATAAAACAAAAATAGCTTAGAAAAATTTGAACTTTTAACTTAATTAGTTTGAAATGAAATGAAAATAAGGAGAATGTTATCGACATATTATAATAATTAATTTCACTGCCGATAAAGACTTTTGACTTTATAAAAACAAACATTTATTAACTTTGTGGTAAACATATTTACATCAAAGTAAATTATTTAACACCTTCAAATTTATCTTATCTTAATTAAATCAAATCAAACTTATCTTAATTAAAATAAGTAGCTGACAGGTAAATATTAATATTTTTTATACATATCTCATTAAATTAAGCATTGGATTGATACTAATTACTGGACAATAAAATATATATTAAATATGTGCCGATATATATTTTATTCCTTTAGTGCCATATTTGTCCCTGTAATAAATACTTTACAATCAATAAACTTATGAATTATATTTCAAAAAAACTAGCTTTTTTACTTTTTCTGAGGACAGCTGAGCCCTCCTTTCGTTTAAAATATTGCCGGTTTTACAAAAATCCCTTTCACATGGCACTGATGTTGCCACTGTGCAAAATTTTTGTCTAACAATTTTTGACAGAAATGGAAAATTGTAGGAATGTTGGAGGGAAGCAAAACCCTTGTTACAGCTACGTTCCTCGATCCCAGATTCAAAAATATAGCTTTCCCTTCAGAAAAACTTATGAATTATATTTAAAAAAAACAAGCTTTTTTACTTTTTTTTGCTGTTTCGGCTGTTTTTTCTGAAGGGAAAGCTATATTTTTGAATCTATGCCTCAATAGTAGGCAAAAGACCACGCCAAAGGCCAAAAAGCAGATGGATAGATAGAATCAACAAAGACACAATAGAGCTGCATGTAGATAAATGGAAAAAAATAGCCCAAGACAGGCAGAGATTGACCATACTTGTTAAGGTGGCAAAAGATCTACATGGTCTGTAATACAAACAGAAAAAATAAATATATATATAGAATAGAAGAATCAACTTTATTCTTGGACAAAGTCCCTTGAGAATAACAATATTGTACATAAAAATTAACATAACATCTGGCCAAAATGCATATTACAATAAAAAAAAAAAACAACACAAAAAACTAAAAAATAAGTAATAACAGAAGGATTTACATAACTATACTGATATATTAAAGACATAACATGAGCAATAAGGTCCCAATACAGCAAGATAGTTACTAAAAACAATAAACTATGGAATTTTAACTGAAATTTGAAATGAACGACAAATTACTTTTGTTGTCATACCATTGTATTAATGAAAAAAATAATAATAAAAGAGTGGATAAATATTTACTTTAAATGATTTACATATGTAATTTAATATGTTCAAAGAATACAATAATAGTATTGTAAACATTATACAAGTCCTATATAATCTAAATCCCAAGATGTAGATTGATCGGTGAAAATAAAAGATATATATGTGTGTGTGAGTATGTTAAACTTAGCTATTAAGAATTTTTTCAATTGTTACAAAATTCTTAAGAACGTTGTATTAGAAAAATATGTTCTCTGCATGAATTTGTTATATTTTTATTTAATATATTCCGTTCTTTTGTCAAATATGAAGCACATTTTGTTTAAAAAACTGTGTGAATATCTTCATAGTACCTGACATAACTATAAGGTCATTAGAACTATTATATTTAAAAATGGTGTAAAATATTTATTACAGGGACAAATTTAATATATGTTTTATTAGGTATCAAATAGGTATTAAAATATCAATAACCCGATCAATAATCAATTACAGTTGGATTAAAATATCTGATACAATTTTTGAAATATCAAGCCCAAGTGCCAGTATGCATACCACTGAGTATCTAGACCAGGTATCAGATAAAAGTATCCAATACAAATATCAGATAATGGAAAGAAATAACCCAAGATAGATAGAGATTGAGCATACTTGTTAAGGTGGCAAAAGATCTACATGGTCTGTAATACAAACAGAAAAAAAAAAAATTATATATATGTGTGTGTGTGTGTGTGTGTGTGTGTGTGTGTGTGTGTGTGTGTGTGTGTGTATGTTAAACTTAGCTATTAAGAATTTTTTTAATTGTTACAAAATTCTTAAAAATGTTGTATTAGGAAAATATTTTCTCTGCATGAATTTGTTATATTTTTATTTAATATATTCCATTCTTTTGTCAAATATGAAGCATATATTGTTTAAAAAATTGTGTAAATATTTTCTTAGTACCTGACATAACTATACAGTCATTAGAACTATTATATATTAACTAATAAGCCCAAACGCCAGTATGCATACCGCTGGGTATCTAGTCCAGGTATCAGATAAAAATATCAGATAAAATATCTGATACAAATATTAGATAAAAATATCCGATACAAATATCAGATAAAATTTTCCGAAATTAACATTACATAGAAAAAATAAAATAAGCGTGAATATATTTATCTACAAATAAATATTTAATTAAATTAAACTAAATGAATAGATAGTTCTAAAGAAATTGTGCACAACTAAAATTATAACTAAACATTTCTCTTATATCAATGTGGCATGTCTGGACAACCATTTTGTATCCATGTGAGCATCAGATACTTTTGTATCAGATACTTTTGTATCAGATACTTTTTTAGTATCAGATAAAAGTATCTGATACATACAATCCGATCCATCCCTACTTGTACCGGAATTTAAAGACTAGAATCTATAAAACCATTATCCTACCTACAGTTCTTTATGGTTGCGAAACGTGGCCACTTACATTAAGAGATGAGCAATGTCTTAAGGTTTTTGAAAATGAGTTCAGAAGGTTGCACAAAGCTGAGTTGTTGGGTGAACTGTATCGGAGTAATATAATTGAGGTGATTAAATCTCGGAGAATCAAGTGGGCTTGTAAAATAGTTGGTCTTAGTCACTAGCGGATCCAGGATTTAATTTTGGGGGGGGCTTCAGCCCGAAAGCGATTTTTTTTCATAAAAATAACGATAATTACTTTGGAAAAGATGAAAGAAACTAACTACCTGTATGAAATGGTGTTTAAGTGATTCCTAAAGCCCCTTTAAATGTAATTACACAAACAATAATACTTTAAAAGATACTTTTTTAATATTTTTTTCGATAAAACATGGCTATATTTTACCATTTTGGGGGGGCTTCAGCCCGAAAGCCCCCCCCGTAGATCCACCCGTGGTCTTAGTAACAAAAGAATTCCTAAACAGTTGAGGAATGGTATTAATGTCCTAGAGGTAGACCTAAGCAAAGCCAATCTGAAGGGACTGGGTTTGTACAGGGAACAGTGGAGGTAGGTGTGCAGTGTGGCATGAAACCTGGGGTTTCCTAAGCCATTTATTATTTTAACATTTGCCAACGTTTCGACCGGAAGTTCAGGTCTTCATCAGGACTGAGACAACAGCTGAGTCAGATAACAATAGGTATGAGAAACATAAACTGTGTAGGTAGAAAAACTTAAAGTAAAATAAAATAGGTAGAATAATAACAATAACAAGAACTAAGAAATAAATAATAACAGCTAAAAAGTGTGGACTAATGAAGTAAACATAATCAAAATAAGGTAACATAAGAACTAAAAATGGTAATCTTAGAATAAGATGTATAACAGAGAAAGGAATATGAAGTCATATAAGAAATAAATAGAAATAGAAAATTGAGATATTACAAAGTCTATCAAAATATTCTGACTACGCATAAGAGAATAAAAAGTTAATATATTTACTGTAGTTTAATAACTCTAGATCTGATATTATATTTAAATATTTAGGTATCTATCATCCATTCCGAAAAATCATGTAACCTTTTAGAAAATCAAATTAGTGAATAGTTTGATAAAATTTCCTTTAGTGATATTCCAACAGTATCCACTTCCAATTAGTGTGACAATTTTTGACTTGTCTATGACAGACAATGCAAATCTCTTAATCCTGTTTTAGTAATAACAGTTTAATAAGTAATAGTCGTACAATCCATAATCTACCGATGATATAATATAGGACTTTTGTTATTTTAATGGTATTTATGATTTGTTTGCTCTAATTTTTTAGCTTTAGCTCTGTTAAAAATTCAATCAAACCATTTTATAATAGCCCAACATGGCCAGAAAATAATTTCTATACAAAATTGAGCGGTAAGTGAAAGTTTTGTGTTGTGCGCACCAGATTTTTTGAATAACCTTTTAATTTGTTCGCAATTTTCAATCATCTAAATCTTCATTAGTTTCTTTAAACAATAAAAAACTTATTTTATTCAATCAATTGAATCTCTTGAAAGACCTAAAAGACAATTTACTCTTTAACATCAAGCTGAATAAACCCTGCACCATTCTTCATTTCTTGGAAAAAAATAAATCACGGATCTGAGAATTCATTCCATGTCAACATTGTTTGTAGGGAGGGAGATCACTAAAAATGTATTCAAAAAATTATATTATTACCTGCTACAAATTTTAGACAAACAAACTAAAATATATTTTTTTTATTTATTTATAAATAAATCACAGAAACATTAGTATAACAAAAATTATAATGCAGAAATGATTAACAAAGTTAAAAATTTAAATTAACTATTTTAACCAAGATAAAATTTATAAGTCACTATCTTCCTCTTCTTCAGACCCTACATGTGATTCCAAGTGGTCCATAAGAAGTTTGATTACTGACGTGCCATGATGACATGCTTCACAACCAACTTGTCCAGTTGAATGTATCAGAGCGTGAGCTCTTAGCGTTGGCAAATACCACAATGCTTGGCTACAAGAGGAGCAGTCATCAGCCTGATCTCTCATTTCTCTTTCAAGTTCTTGAATTTCGGCCGCAGTGTAAGTCCTTAAAGACTCTTTTGAAGGATGTTTGACAGCAATATGAAAGGTTAATTCTTCTTCTTTAAAACAAACAAAGCTACAACTATGGCAACAGAGAGCTTTTGGTATATTTGGTCCTTTCAAGGAATCTAAAAAAAAAATAATAATAGTTAAATAGATATATGAGAAACTGTATATAATTTTTTTCTTCAAAATATGATATATAGTTTAACAATATACAGTAACCATCCTGTCATTTTAAAATTGTTATTAAATAATATTATTTATAACCAAAAATAAAATAAATTATTTATAAAAACTTAAGGTTAAAAATTCAGGCATGATTAAAAAAAAAGTCTGCCAAATAAAATCAGTATAGCTTCCTCACCATTTTCATCGGCGTATATTTCAAGGTCTTTAATTTTTCGTATGAGAATAAAATCTCCGGGGGAAATCGTTTTCGGTTTGATATCCACGAATTTTGTTTATCAGCGAATATTAAAATGCGGAAGAGTCACATATTTCCAGATTGCGTATTCTATATTCGTGATTTTAAAAATAAATCCCAGTACATACTGCACATTCATATCACTATTGTTAGTGCAAAAGGTTGTATGTAAAAGTTAAGTGTTTTACAGAAGAGTATAAAAACTAATTATTTCTTTATGATGTGGTACTATGATTTTATATTTTATTGTCCACTTCTATTTTCCATAGTAGCAGACTACCTATATCAGTTGCAGACTTTAAAATGTCACCTTTAATACAAAAAAAAAAATCAAAATTATACACACGACTTTTGGCTCTAACAGTAGCGATATATATCTAATAGATATGTTTTCATTCATAAAATTAATGGATCCAAAAATCCATTGGAAAATTTTAAACTTTTTGTTCGGAATTAACGAGACCAATATTTTTCTTCAGTCAGAACAAAATTAATTAAAGCTGGAATATAAAAATATGCATGAAATTCATACAACTTTGATGTTTAAGGAGGAAATCGAGACGACTACCAGCTGGCTGAACTTCAATAGAAATAAACACAATTACAAATAAGACTCTTTTTTATTACAAACTCAGAGTAAAAATTAATTCTAAATTTACTTAACATTACACGAAATCTAAGTAAAGACAGTAAGTGCCATGTCAAGTTGGAATTGACCAAACAATAACTTATAAATTAAGTTTTTGAATAAATCCTTATTAAAGTTTATAACCTCATAAAAATATTGTATTAACCTAATCTCCATTATACATGTTCAATGCCTTCCACATTTCACAGCCATAATATTGTTAACAGTTATTTATATTAATTTTAATTATTAAATGGAATTTCTACACTATTCTCCAAATTTCCTCCAAGTTTAAGTAAAATTGAACGAGCCGTTTTCATACTATAGGTGTGTCAAATAATACATTTACTGATCCAAAAGCGGAAGTTTTTTTTTTATTAGAGTAGTGGATAGAATTTGATATTAACTGAATTATTTGTTTACCAATCCCTAACTTCCCTCCAAATTTGAGCCAAATCGAACATGCAGTTTTAGAGATATAGACGTATCAAGGAAAACACGTTTGCGCATATATACGAGAAATTAGTGGACAAAATTCAATAAAATTGACATTATGTTATTTTTTTACCACGAAGCGTTGCGAGTAGGTATAATTTGTTTTTTGATCCTTAACTTCTACTTTTCTTATTCATAAGATTGTATTTCTTTGAAATGTATTTTATTTTCCACTTATCTTCAACCTCTCTCTCTCTATGTGTGTATATTTATATAGGTATATATTTTTTTTTTCTGAAGCAATAGATTAGCTTCATAAGTAGATCACAATACTTGTTTAGTTTTTCATAATATCTTTAGGTGTATTCACTTAAACTTCTTAAGGAACGGATGTAAATCATTTATTTAATCTAGTTATTTTTTTATATTTTAACACTACAATGGTTAGTCTACAAAATAAATATATTTAATGATCCTTTCTAATTCATTTAGTTACTTTTATGTTATTGTCTTAGCACCAATATTGTAGTATGGTAACCCTATTACATATCTGTTTTAGTTAATATGTCCTAAGAGCTATGTATTATACTTATTTTATTACTTGTATATAATTATTATATTTTAGTTATTCTTTATCGTAATAGGTTTATTGGCCAGATTTATTGTTAAGTTGTATAATCAATATTGTTATTCTTAAGGGACCTAGTCCCAGAATAAAGATGATTTTCTATTTCTAAAAGTATCAAAGTTGTGTGAACTTCACGCATATTTTATATTCCAGCTTAATTATTTTTGCTCTGACTGAAGAAAAGTATTGGTCTGGTTAACTCCGAACAAACAAAAAGTTTATTTTTCCTATGGATTTTTGTTCCATCCATTTTACAAGCAAAATCATGCCATTAAGTATGTATCACTGACTACTGTTAGTGCAAAAAGTTGTATTTAAACATTTTCAACTTTTATTCTATTTGTGCTAAAGGTGACATTTTGTAGTCTACAACTGATATAAGTAGTTCTGCTTCGATGGAAAATAGCAGAGGGCGATAAAATATGAAATTATACTAATACATCATAAAGAAACAATTAGTTTTTATGCTCCCCTATAAAACATTCCATTTTTATATATAACCTCCTTTTGCACTAACAGTAGTGATATGCAAGTTCAGAATGCACTGGAATTTTTTTTTAATCATGAGTCATCAAATAACCAATCTGCAAATAAGTAATTCTTATGCATTTTAGTATTCAGTATGCAGTATTATATAGTATAGTTGATGAACAAAACTCATGGATATCAACAAATTTATCCGAAAACGGCTTTTCTCATAAATTTTATTCTCATATGAAAAAATTTAGACCGTGTAATATAGATATTTTTTAATCCAATCAAAATGGTGAGGAAACTATACTGACCTTACTTGGCAGACGTTTCTTCATAGTTGATAGTTTTTTACTTTCACTTACCTATATATATATATATATATATATATATATATATATATATATATATATATATATAAAACGTCATATAATATATATGATGTTTTTTCAACAGAACAATATTGAGGTTTTAGCCTGGCCAGCACGTTCTCAAGATTTGAACCCCATTGAGCATTTATGGGATAACCTCGGAAGACGAATAAGAGCGCGTGCTACACTTCCTGATACACTGCAGGACCTTGAAAGGGCTCTTCGGGAGGAATGGACTATCCTCCAGCAAAGATATACTAAGAGACATTTTGAAACTTAATATTGAAAAAATTAAAAGCCGGAGAATAAGAAATGTGCTGCAAGAAACGGCACTGAACTAATGATACTGAATAAACATTTTGATTCCATAGAAAGTAAACATTGAAATCTAGAATCATTTCATTGAATTATGGATTAAGAGTTATTGTATTCTATATTAACATTCCTAATTGAAAACAAACAAAAAGATTACCTGTTTATTCATTAAAAACAATAGACCAATCCAAAGCAGAAATATTTTTAGATAAAAACATGAAAAAATCAAGTGGATGGAATTTTTTCCCTGTCAGTGTATAAATATATATATATATCTGAGATTTCAATGGAAATACTTGTTTTGAGATCGCCTGAGTCCAAATAACCAAGTCCCGCAAAATGGTTTGTGTATTTAAATACACAACTGAAATTGTGTATTTAAAGTTTGTACATGCCTGGGTGTTACGGCAACTTTTTCATCAAAATTAGCCAACCGGATGAGACAATTCGTATCACCGATTTTACACATTTTTACAATTTTCTCAAGAACAGCTCTAATGATTTTGATTAAACTCACTAGATATGTATTATTTATTAAGTGGTTTATAATTTATGGTAGGTTTTATAAAAGTGCCGTCCTCTACTACTTCCAAAATGCTACCTTTAATTTAATTTTTTTTTTATAGAAATAATTAAACATTTCACATTTTAACCTGCTATAAAAAATGGTCAAATATAGTGAATGAAGAAAATTGATTGATAATTAAAGGAAAAATAAGTGCAGGAAGCTACACGGTATAAGCTATGTAAGGCTGTTTATCCGAGAACACCCGACCTTTGCCGATCCTCTCTCTTTACAGATACACGATACCCTTTGTACAGAGCTTTCATATTGTTAGATTAACAACAATCCATAATTTTTTAAAAAGGTCTTCACATGAAATAATGAGGATCTACTAATATCAACCTATCAATATACAATATTTACTAATGTTAAGTTATTTATTCTAACAAGTTTCATGACAAATGTTTCCGATTAAACAGAGTTTTTCAAAAGATCTATTTTTCTCCAAAACCAATAGTATTGTTTGATACTATTCAAATTCATAATAGGAAATTGAAATTAATTGTTTTAATTAAATGAAGTTACACCATCGTTTAAACTTTAACTTCCCTGTATATGAAAATACCTACCTACTCTCAGATTAGTAAGTGAAAGTTATGTGATGCACACATCGCACCAGATTTTTAAATTCAAAGCAGGCAATGTAGTAAATTTTGTAACACATTTAATGTTCAAGCAGCTCAATTTCAAAATTTGTATTTTTTTAGTTCTCTAATAAATAAATATAATTATTATATGAAAATAAAAATTACCAGGAGATTCAGATGAAACAGGTTCATTAAGTTTATTGATAAAACTGTCGGATAAATCAGTACCTAAAACAAAAATGAATGAAATGTAAATATTTCGGAGCATATGTATAATTATAATATCTTGGAAAAAAAAGGCCAATGTCCAAAATAATAAAATTTGAGTGAAATGCGCGATTAAATAATAACATATATTAATTGTTAAAACATATTCTTATTTAATCATGCATTAATTTATTAAATGTCAAAGTTTGACTAGGTTATAATTGGTCTAACCTTAATTTTAAGAAAAAAAAAAAATTGGAAATGTATTTTGCAAAAACTTTTTTGCCAAGAAATAGTATCTTTACTAAGTTTATTAAAGATACGGTATCTTTAAAGTTAATTCTTTAAAATTTGTACATAATTATAATCTATTAAAAGGTACCTACTAACCTGTACCAAATTCACTTTATCATTTTAATTAAATAAAGATTTACAGATCGCAAATGGGAGAAAACCTGAGAAAGAGCACATGATATGTCAAAAGTAAAGACAAAGTAGTGGAGATGATCAGAGATCAGAAAGAAATTTTACTCTTCTTCCCTTTCATTGCATCAGACTGGGAAGAACCGTATTCTATTACCTTTCTACCTCACTATCCATTTTTTCTGATCAGGCAGTGTGGTTTATATGACCCTTAACCCTTTTACTGCGGAGGGGATAGATGTCTCCCTGTTAAGAGTTGGGTCACTGGTGGGCCGAGATATATGCCATCCTGCCTGGGCAGGTCGCCACTCAAACAAGTCCTGCCTTCACCATTTAACTTTGGCTTAGTCGGTGCATTCATTAGTCTCCTGTAGCTGACTCAGTGCGGTCGTTCCCGATTCTGACCATTTGGAAGCTATCAGTTGCAGATTTATTCTGAACACGAACTATCTCCTTTCTCTGTTATTTGTGTCATATCCATGATCTTATTTATATTCTATTTAAATGCTTTATACATCAGATAAATGTTAATAAGTTAATTTTATAATTTTTTTCTTTTTTTTTTTTTCAATTTTGGTTTTGACTGAATGCTGATTTTGGTACACATGGATCTCAGTCTACTAAACAAATAAATGTAAGTTTCCTACATTTTATATATATATTATACTATTATTTGTCAAATGTAAGAGATATTACTGTGTATATATATATATATATATATATATATATATATATGCACAGTAATATCTCTTACATTTGACAAATAATAGTATAACCTCGGAAGATCACTTTATTCTAAGGATACTTCCTAAATAAATAAGAGGTTGTTAAATAAAAAAGAAATTATAAGAGTATTAATATATTAAACTGAAATTTAAAATTATTTAATCTCAAGTATAGGTTATTGACAATCAGATCAAAAACCTCAGACAGACTAACATGAACGAAATATACTAAACACTGTTTGATTTTAAAATAAAATCAAGTATGATTGGCAAGCTAACCTTTTTCTATATTATATATTTCTTCCCTTGTGGCAATGAACTCATTTGTCTTCAAACACTTTCGAAAGTTCCGCTCAACACAACTGCCAAGATGTGACACTTTCTTCTACTCAACTCAAGCTCTCTGGGAGATCCTCTCTCTTGTAATTCCAAACAACTAGTGACTCTGTCAAACAAAAACTTCCAAGATGGTAATACTATTACTGGGTTTTACCCACTAGAGCCAGGATCCCTATCTCCTATTCTCTCTTCACTGTAGCCAACCAACAACTGCTTGTCAAAACAAAATCCTTTGTCCCTCTCCCTCTCCTCTTTTGGGATTTTCCTTTCTGGAGAAACTAGAGAGCAGTTATTTTCTTTGTCCTGACCTAGTGAAACTAGATTAGCTTGCTTTTTAACTGTTACATTAATTTATTAAATCATTTTTAACAACTTTTAATTAAGGTGTATATTACAATATATATATGTATATATATATATGGGCTCGGGTAGCCGTGCAGGCTAAGGTGCTTGCAATACATAACCAAGTTAACCAATAACCGAGCGTGATTAGCACTTGGATGGGTGACCGTCCACCAGGGAAAGCCACGCTGCCCAAGACAGCCCTTCGGTTTTTGAGGCCCACCAGACTACTGGAGGCAACTCACACCGACCGGGCATAGGACTGATGACCCTACCCCTGTGTACTTAAATCAAGAATCGGGATGTGGTCTATAAAACCACATCTCCCGGTCAAAGATCTAAAAGGTCTGTAGCGCCAACCGAAAAATAAATAAATATATATATATAGTAACATATTTTATTAGGGCCTTTATAAATTGTAATTGTTAACAGAAGTCATGTTCATGTTTTGTTCTTTTATTATTTTTAGTGTGAAAAGGAGCATTTATATGTAACATATTTAAAAATTCAATTTATTGCTATGTATTTTATTAATTTTAGTCACGATTTAATTTGAAATTGTAAAAACAATAATAAAATTTAACTAGCGATAAAGATTAAAAGATACGATGTATTAGAGCTAAAGGACGGGAGGGTCCTTCTCTGTCAAAGTTAGAATAGTTAATAACTTGTGGTAGGGTGTATTGTAGGATGCAATCTTATAAGTGAAAAATAACTTATATTACATCGTATTATTTTTATCTACTTTCAATTCTTATTGATTAATTCCATTTAATTGTTCATTATTCTAATTATTTCCACTTTATATGATCTCTCTTTTATTTTCATATTTACTTTCTACATCAATGTATGATCATCCGTTTTCACTTAGTATTCATTTTACTTTTTACCCATGTCTCAATATTATCTAATATTTAAATGTAATTTTCTTACATATGTACAACTAAATATAATTATAATTATTCATATATTTTTTTTCCTCTCTATACTTCTTAAGTAGTTCTGCAATGTATGGTCTCTTATTTCTATATTTATATTTTACTTCTTCCATTTTTGCTTTTATTCACATTGTACTCTAATCTATAATTTCTTAATTCTATTTTATATGTATATTATATATTTATAATTTATTATTTCATAGATATACTATTTTTTCCCTTGTAGCCATCCATATCTTCAAATAACGCAAATTCAGGTCAGCAAAATTACTCTATACCTACCATTACCCTTATTTTCCGGTTCTAAGTGAAACTCCTAGCTGAACACACCTGTAAGACTCTATTTTTATTGTATATATTTATTTATTTATTTTTGGTTTTCTTTTCTTTCTCCACATTCCTATATGTCTATTATTTCATATTATATCATTTTTCAATCTCTCCCGTAGATCTGTAGAAGTATATTCACATTTGCATATATTATATATTACACCATAACAATTGTTACCATCTATTTACTTCAGTTTAGGATCTTGTTACTTAGCTTACTCTGTTTATAATTTAATGTACTTACTGTTTATAATTTTAATAAGCTTATTCACATTGTTTATATATATATTTTTTTCTAAATATTATGTAACTTCCACAATTTTCTATATTTTTTGTATCTTGTCCGTTCCAGCCCTGAAGAAGACCTGGAAAGTCGGGTCGAAATGTTGGCTTTTAATAAAAGTTTTGCCACTATTTAGCCTATTTATTCACCCCGGACCATCTCCTTCCTTTATAATGTTTGTAATATTTTTAAAATAAGTATTTATGAACTATAGTTAAATAAAAATAGAAGGAGTTTGGACTTAGAGATCTCAGGGCTTAATTAAAATAATTGTTAGTATATTGCCGCTCACTAAACTGAAAACAGGTCTGAGGGCTGGCTATTAGTTTAAATATATGCCTGGTCCCTAGGGCAGGCACTCTCTCCGGAGTCACTACCTCTTCCTCCACAAAGGCTCCTGGAATCTCTCTGTCTGATGTTTGATACCAGACCGTTGTGTTATTTTTTTGTTTTTACCTTATCTACCTTCCTTTCTCTCACCTTCTGTTCTCTCCTAACCTACCTCCTCTCTCCTTTTGTAGTATTAACGTGGCTGTCCCACGTTTTCCTGCAGTCCCCCTTGCATCTTCCAGGTTGTCCCTGGGAGCGTGAGGTTACCTATCCTTGCAACATCTGGGGATTGCCTCCTTGGGGGTTGCTGAGCCCTGGATGTGTAGGGGTTGTCTCCCTATCATTCTTGGCGGTCTTACCTCACCTATCCTTGCAAGGTGTGGGGATTGCCTCCTCGGGTTGCTGAGCCCTGGATGTTTAGGGGTTGTTCCCTTATCATTCTTGGCGGTCTTACCTCACCTATCCTTGCAACATCTGGGGATTGCCTCCTCGGGGGTTGCTGAGCCCTGGATGTGTAGGGGTTGTCTCCCTACCATTCTTGGCGGTCTTACCTCACCTATCCTTGCAACATCTGGGGATTGCCTCCTTGGGGGTTGCTGAGCCCTGGATGTGTAGGGGTTGTCTCCCTATCATTCTTGGCGGTCTTACCTCACCTATCCTTGCAACATCTGGGGATTGCCTCCTCGGGGGTTGCTGAGCCCTGGATGTGTAGGGATTGTCTCCCTATCATTCTTGGCGGTCTTACCTCACCTATCCTTGCAACATCTGGGGATTGCCTCCTCGGGGGTTGCTGAGCCCTAGATGTGTAGGAATTGTCTCCCTATCATTCTTGGCGGTCTTACCTCACCTATCCTTGCAACCTATGGGGATTACCTCCTCGGGTTGCTGAGCCCTGGATGTTTAAGGGTTGTTCCTTTATCATTCTTGGCGGTCTTACCTATTCTATCCTTGCAAGGTCTGGGGATTGATTGCCTTCTCGAGTTGCTGAGCCCTGGATGTGTTGTCCCCCCATCATTCTTGGCCGTCTTACCTCACCTATCCTTACACTGAGACCCAATCTCTCCTAACCTACCTCCTTTCGCCTTTCGTAGGATTAACATGGTTGTTCCACATTTTCCTACAGTTCCCCTTGCGTCTTCCAGGTTGTTTCTGGGAGCGTGAGGTCACCTATCCTTCCAACGTCTGGAGATTGCCTCCTCGGGTTGCTGAGCCCTGGATGTGTAGAGATTGTCCTTCTATTATTCTTGGCGGTCTTACCTAATATACCTTATCCTTCTCATCCTATCTAAACTAATACACCCCTTCTTTACAAAGGTAAATAGATACACAAAGACCGAGTTAATTGACTAACAGAGAGATTAAAGGTTAGAAGAACAGATTACAGATTTTAAAAGATGAACAACTACAATAACAGACAGTGAGAGAGAGAAAATATTACAATATATATATAATGTAATAAAAAAATGTAAAAATATACAAAAATTAAAATGTAATAGTAAAAATTAATAAATGTAAAAATACACAGAATTAAAATGATACTTTAGTTGTTTTATAATTTTTACATCCACACACATGTTTTATAATTTCATATAATATAAAGTGTTTGAAACACAAAATAAATGTAAGTGCAGTAATAAAAAAAATTGTAAGTACAAAGAAATAATATCTTTTTTTTAGAAATAATATAATTTTATTTTTATGATAATTTTCAGTTATTATGCTTTTTAAAAATGAGCCAATATGCAAGACAGCGAAGTGTTGAGGGATTGTTGCTGTAATTTTGCATTGCTATATGTGGCCAGGAAGACATATATCCCGTTTAGTAACAGTTGAATAAAAAGGTTAAAATGCATTTTTGAAAGCTGAAATCTTGCAGGGTATAACTCTAAATATCATTTTGAACAAATATATGCAAAAAAAAAAAAAATCCTTTTTTCTGGACATCTTTTTAAACACGCGAATGAGCTCCCTTAGTCAAAGGGTTAACAGAGCAATATTTCATTTTTTAAAAACATAGTTCTGTATTGAAATAAGATAAGATAGATACCTTCAACAATGCTGTTCCTGGAAGAATCAATCATGAATTTATTCTTTTTCATTTTTTTTTTCCCTTCATGAACAGGCTTATTTTTATTTCTGATCATTTTAAATTCTTCAGGACTTGTTTTAATAACTTTTTTAAGGTCCTCTTGACTAGATTTTTCTTTCATCACCTTTTTATAATCATCAGGATCTATAGTGATATATATTCTTTTTTCATTTTCTGGAAACAAAGTATTGAATATTTTTAACAACAAAAAGAATACAACAATGTTCAATATATATAAAACCTAATATGGTGAATGCTTATACTGCATTGAGGGCCCTATTTATGAAATTTCCTAAGGTGCTTAAGGAAGTCTGCTAAGAAACAACTTCCTTTGACGTGTTCCTACAAACAGAGGAACCAATAGATAAAAAAAAAAAGGACGTGTAATTGAATTAACATCAAGACTTTTGTAAAACCTCATTCACGGCCGATTTTGATCTAATTGCTGCATTCAAACCTTACGTTCCGTGTCTCTATATACTGAGGAGTAGTTTACCTCCAGATAACGAGAGTTTTACTTTACCTTAGGGAGATAAATGACTATGACAGTGGCGTATGGTGAATTAAGATATGTGAGTAAGGCTTTCTACCCTATGTTGCACCCTCTAGTAAGCATGACTTGTGGACCACTCTCATTGTTGGTCAGTTAAGTCATCAGACTTAGTCAGGAGGAAATTACAAGGAATTTCCACCAACTGAATGATGATGAGTATAGAATAATAATGAAGACAAGTTGAGAATGAAATATCAAGTGTATGAATTTCATAAAGAAGTAAGTAGAAAATAATGAAATAAAAGATATTAATAGAAACACATCTGATTTTGTACACTGTTAAGTAACAATATAGAAAAAAAGAAGAACATGTTAAGGATCTGAAAACGAAAGAAGGAATAATGTGCACAGAAAAATGTACTTTCTACATCTAATGGGTGTTTGAGTTTATTTTAAACACTCTTTAAAATAATATTGAAACATTACCTATTATTTCTTCTATATCTGAGTCAGAACTGACATTTTCAACATCTATTAATTCTGAAAAAAAAAAAAAAAATCTTCATGATAAAACAAAACAAAAAATACATGCTACTTAGAAGTGTATAAATATATTTCAGAATATAGATACCATTTTCATCATCAGCATTTAAAATTTTTATAAATTTGTGAATTTTTCTATTTTCAGGGTCAAGGAATGCTAGAAAAATAATTTATGTTAATTAAGTTTAGAATAAGCACAAACACTAATGATACATAATATAACATGATAAATAAAATAAAGAAATATAAACATATTATAATATTTTAACTAGATAGACATTGAGTTATGCAGTTAGAATATATTGAAACAAAATGAGCAAGTTAGAACAAAAATAGTAACAGTTGGCATTGTTTTTTTTTCTTCAATATTTACACACCATCATAACAAAAACTGATACACGATAGAAACATGTACACAGTGTCTGTAATTTGCTTCTTCAAAAACTGATACACGATAGAAACATGTACACAGTGTCTGTAATTTGCTTCTTCAAAAACACTACAACCCATGAAGAGTCAAGGTCTGCTGCAGATCAAACCACCAGTATTCCCTATTTGTTGCTGCTCTCCAATTGTCTATAACCCCAAGCACTCTCTGGCCACCAACCACCGCACAATACACCCAATGCAAGTAAGGCCTTCATCCTATTCTGAACCCAAAAATTCTTTTCTCAAGGAGTATTTTAGTGACTTCAATATATCAATGTGTCTTGTCAAAAATACCTTTTTTATATATGCTAAATACATATTCCCTGTGATCCTTCTTAGATTGTTCTTAAGGTGATTCTGAAGCCCATAATTTGACCTACTACCTTCCATAATCCAATGCTAAATTTCCCCATAACATATTATTGGGAGAGTTGAACTGTGTTCCTAAGTAAATAAATCGCTCTGCAAAGGCAAAGTTGACTTCTCCGACTAAAACTTTCCCAACTTAGGTAATAATCTTAGTATGCGGTACAGGCTCCTTTTTATCAAATTATTAACATCCACAAAAAAACTTTGTGAGTGCCTTCACTTTCACATAATTAGCCAATTTCACATAGCCGATTTTAAGGAAAAATTTGCTGTCACATCAAAGGCATATACCTGTCTTGTCTTAAATACATAATAACAGTTTTGAACGACTTTTCTTTTTTGAGCTAATCATTCACATAAACACAGACCATTTTGTAGGACTTCGTTATCTGGACTCAGGGGACCTCAAAACGTGTATTTCTGTTGAAAACAAAGATTCAATAATATTCACAATCACAATACTTACCCTAACTATATATTACATATATAGAAAAGTGAAAGTAAAAATCATTTCATAGTTGCAGAAGGTTGTACTTTTTAAAATAAATACATAGAAAACTATCATAAGTCTGATTTATTATATATTTGTTTTAATAAATTGAAGAAGATGAATACCTATTCTAAACTTCATCAGTTCCGTTATTACATAACCTCACACTCGGAACACTAGCTAATTTTTTTAATTATTAAAATGAATACCAAGTTATGAATATAATTAAAAATGGGTTCACAGGTTACAAGTTACAGAATGCATCTACATGAAAACATGAAGAAGAGCTGGTGATATGCAAAAAATAAAAGTCAAGTCAAAATCTAATCTCCCTTTCACAATGGCAGATAAAAAAGACGTGATGTATACAACCCATTTTCTACCACCCTCATTACTTCACTCCCTATTTCATGAGATCTGGCAGTATTATTTATTTGGCCCTTTAATGAATAAAAGTGTAAATAGTTGAAGGTGAAGAAATAAGGTCTCTAACATTAGTTGTAAGAAAATAAATATTCAAAAACTGCTATGAGGTCTCAATTGATTTTTTTATATCCCTGGTATAAATAGCTCCATTGTTTACAAACAAAACTTTTAATAATTTAAAATAATATAAATAAATATATACATAAAATAAAATAAATAATATACTATAATATACTGAATGACATACAAACTTTTGCAGTTCCAAGAGGAGTATCTTTTTCTTCATCACTGCTACTTTCTTCATCTACAAGAGATATTACTTCCATGGCATTGCCAATTTCTATTTAAAAATCAAGAAGATATTATTGCCAACACAAAAATATAGAAGAGGAGATTTTAATGAAAATACTATTGCCTTAAAAAGCAACTTTGATACATAATATCAATTATGTATTTAATTTAAATACCTCATTTAAATCTCTCCTGAGTGACTTTTAGGTTCTCCCAGAAATGATTTTGTTATTTTATTTTCCCATGTTTGTTTTACATATATCTGTAAGTTTTTAGTTTTTTTTTCTTTTTCTTTTTCCAATATTTTAATTTTAATGAGATTTGTAAATATTTAATTTAATGTATGGCCACACTGGCGTTTTTTCAGTATCTATAATTTGTCCTAAAGGGACAATAGTCCCAGGATAATAAAAAAATATTTTCATTTCATTTTATTCATTTCAATAATAGACTCTAACGTTGGAGAAATAGGAAAAGAGAAAAAATTAATATGTGATGATATAGCATCTAATTTAATTTAACATTTAAAAAGTTCCTTTGTTTGCATAATAGTGAACCATAAAGTCGAAGACATCCGAAAAGTAAAATAAATAATATGCGTTTGTGCAATCTTAAAATTGATAGTTTTCTCAAAAACTATGGCACTAAAAACATAAAAATGGACGATTATAGAAATCTGAGAACCTAAAATACATTTAATAAAATAAGCATAAAGCTAGAAAAGAGATATAAGTTGATTATGTTATAAATGGAAAAATTCAAACAACAAATCCATGAGTCTCATAACATGCAAATTAATAGTTAACTTCCCAATATACTTGTATATTATGAGACAAATTACTTTGTTGTTTGGATTTTTTCATTTATAATGTAAAATACATTGTTACACGATTGCTATAAATTTAATAGTATTTTTATAAAAACCTCCTCTGGTAACAAAATAAGGGACCATAATATCGAAGAAATAAAAAATAAAATAAATCAGAAAAATCAATAGTGTTCTTATAAAAAGTCAGGTAGGAGCCATTTTCTAGGCCTTTCAAAAGCTAGTAAAACGATAAGACAATAAAGTTGTTTTCTTTATTGATTCGCAAAATATATTTCCCTACAAGAAATATATTATAAATTCATATATCCTTAGGTACAAACTATATTTGGACCGATTAAAAGAAAATGAAATGGCCACTCTCAAATGGATACCAGGCCATTGTGGACATTATGATAAGGAAGAGGTTGGTTAGGGAAGGATATGGGGATGAACCAACTAGAAATTCTCCTTGGGCATGGATTCAGCTAAAAAAAAATGTATAAGTTATAGAAGTAAACAAAATAATTGAACTGATGGATTGGGCTGCTGGAAGAAAATGGCAGGATCACAAAAGACCATCCAAGACAATTTATCAGTTGTTTTAGGATGAGAAGAGACCTAAAAGTTTTGGAAATGGGGCTGTGGGAGAACTCCTCCCGAGTCAGGATAAAAACTTAGGTATCCGTGCGAATTTTTTTAGTAAAACAATTTTTCTGTTATGGCGAAAACATGAGAGAGGTCATTGCCGAGAACAATGTGAAATTTTGTTGTCTGTTAAAGAAAATACCAATGGAAACTCATGTGATGCTTAAAATAGTCTATAGGATTATGCCCTAAGCAAAACAATACGAGTTTATGAGTAGTTTTCACATTTTAAAATGGAGAGATGTCAACTGAAAACCAACCTTGTTTTGGACTCCCCTCAACTTCAAGAACTAATGACAAAGTTGAGAAAATCATGCCCCTGTTCGTGAAGACTTTTGCCAAACCATTGATTAACAACTCTCTGAGATGGCTCAAGTGTCCAGGGTCTCAGTTCAGATTTGCACATAAGAAGGATTGCAGCAAAACTTGTCTTGTCTCCTCCCTTCTCAATAAGGAGCAAATGCCTGTCCTGAGATCCAAAATCAGTTGAAAGAGGACTCTTTTCCAAGTTCATTATTGATGATGAATCATGGTGATATAAGTACAACTCCTAAACAAATCAGCAATAGTGTCAATGCTTTTGCCAAAGCATGTCAAGTGAAGTCAAATGCCAAGACAATGCTAATTTGTCTCTTTGATTTCAGAAGTGTTGTGCACTCTGAGTGTGTTCCTCCATGACAAACGGTCAATCAGCAACTTTACTTGGAAGTTTTGAAGAGATTAAGGGAGAATATCTCGAAAAGCAGACTTTGGCCAATGAAACCGGTTGTTAACCTCACTATTTACCAGATTAGGTCCATTGTGAATTCTTTCCCTTTCCTGGACTCAAAAGGAACTTGGAAAGAAAATGTTTTGAGACTGGGGAACATGTAATACCAACATTGCTGGAAGGGCTAAAGAACATTCAATAAGTGAATTTAAAAACAGTTTTGAACACTGGCAGAAATGATTGGAAAAGTGCATTACACTCACTAGGAATTACTTTGAAGGTGATTTGATATAAAAATAAATATAAATAAAGAAGTTAAGAAGAAATTCCTGTTATTTTTTTTTTATCCCACCTCATACATCAAACAAACGTTTATAATATATTTTTAAAGTGAATCTGAAAATAAAAATGATTTATTAAATTATCTTATTGTATTATCAATAAATTAATAATTCTCTCATTCGAGAGAAAAGGGCACAACTTAAAAATGAACTCTTAATAGGTATATGTGTCGGTACATATATATTACAACTTAAGAAGAAAGGTAGTACAACCCAAAAATTAATGATATTTCAGTTAGAATATCATGAATAAGATTATGCAAAAATTTGAAAAAAGTCAATCTTTGAGTAATACTGGTCTTCTAAACCAGTGATTTGTTAATTACAAATCCCAAAATATTTGCAAGCCAAGGTTATGTTTATTTTAACATTTGATTTATTTCCTGGGATAAAGAATATATAAAGCCTACCAATTTATGAAGACCAAAAGCCCTTTTTTAAAATGTTACATGTAATGTAATCCTTTTGCAGGATTTCAAGATACATTTTACGGACAGACAGAGATTTCTCATATTAGAGTAGAGTATAGAATATAAAACATATACATAAAGCCACATACCTGAATTATTTTTGCTATCCAAAAGTTCTTCAATATCTTCTTCTTCAACAATATTTGCTTCCTCATCGTCACCGTCAAGAGAAATAACTTCAGGACTCTCAACATCTATTTGAAAATAAATATTTTTTAAATATTAAAGTTCCTACATTTTGTATTCTTTTTTATTATTTTCACTCCCTTTGGGATTTACACACCTTTTAGAGTTGGTGCCTTGGTTAAGGTTTTTACGCTTGTTAGCGCAACCTTCCACGTATGTTTATCTGGACCTATTGGTTTCCACTTAGCCACATGTAAGCCTTTAGCATTTTTATTGGTTCCATCTAAGCCCCTGGTTCTGGGTCTCCCACGAGGTCTTTTCACAACAACTGGTGTGGTATTCATGGTTGAGTTTTGGCAGCTTTAAACTACATACCTTTATTTATCTCAGTAAATTGATAATTTCTTGAAGTAGGTATGGAGTTAAGAACAATGAATCAATCAACGTTTTACCATTTATTCTGTTCCTTTTTCAGCTATTTTTCACGTTACTCACTCTGCATGAAATTGATGTATGCTAAAAAATTCATAAAATGGTGGTAGAGGTAGATTATATCAGATGCTTCAGTCTAATTAATAATACAAAAAAACATAAATTGGGACAAGGACATTTGGAAAATTATAAAAGGAGGAATTTCAAAAAAGCTACAATGAGCTAAGTTCTGAACAAAAATGATAAATAAAAGCTCCCCAAGATTATTGTTGATCAATGGTAAGTGAATATAGAGATGGGAATGAGTGATTTGGTCTGGACAGCTTGTCCAAATGCATCTGAATATAGTCAAACTAGTGAGGATTCTGAAACTACGAGTTTTGAACAAAATAATTATAATTGCCAGTAGCCTATTAATCATTAGGATATCCATTAAGAAGACTTCTTCTTGAAAGCCATATTTTGGAATGCGGATGGTCTATAAGTAATGCAAAATACATGGGAAAAGAAAATACTGACTTGTTCAGTATTGCAGAATATGGTGCTAACTTGGACAAATAAAAAGCTCTAGTTGAGCTGATTTCAATGCACATTCTTGTGTTTACATCCTTGGCTATTATTTAGAGAATCCTTACCTCTATCAGGTTATTTTCTGTACATGTGAGGATAATAATCCCAATTAGTTTGTATTTTTCTTTCGCTCAGTTAACATGGAGTGGGATGATAAAGATAAACAAATAGCTGTGATCGCCTTACACAAAGTTGGAAAAGTTGTAGATCAGAGATTTTCAACATTTTGAAATCTTTGGGTAAGAGACGTATGTTAGTGTACCTCACTATAAATATATATAATGAGACCTCGACTGGGCCGTCCCCGCATGATGAGAACGGCAAATGCAGTGAGAGCAGTGGCTGCTCAAATCAGAAGAAATCCCATTCAAAAACAACAAATCATGTATCGGGAAATGGGAATCTCTGTCAGATCAATGTCTCGCATAATCAAAAGTGACCTTAGGATGGGTGCATTTTGAAGAATGACAGGACAAAGGCTACTTCCCTAAAAAAAATGGAGTGGATAGATGCAAAGTGTTCCTTGGCGATTACACCAATGGTCTTCATCGAAACATTTTGTTTAGTGATGAGAAAATTTTTACAATTGAAGAAAAATTTAATCGTCAAAATGATCATGTATACACACATAGCTATAAAGAAGCCCAGGAAGTCATTAGAAGAGTGGAAAGAGGTCATCACCCTTCCTCAGTTATGGTTTGGTGGGGAGTTTGCTTTGATGACACCACAAAGCTCCATTTTTGTGAAAAAGGATTTAAAACAGCCGCTAAAAACTATCAGGACAATATTTTGAAACCTGTGGTCAAGCCTCTAAATGATACTCTGTTTGCTGGAAGTCATTGGGTTTTTCAGCAGGATTTCGTTCCAGCTCAACTCAGCAGTGGCTGCAAAAGAACATTCCAGAGTTCATCTCTGAATTGGATTGGCCCTCAGAAAGCCCTGATCTCAATCCACTAGATTATCGGCTTTGGTCCGAACTGGCGAGGAATTTATGCCACAGAACATACCCTACCTTGGAAAGCCTCAAAACATCTCTGGTCCGAACAGTTGAGCGCTTTCCTCAAGAAGTGCTGCACGCTGCTATTGATGACTGGCCACGAAGAGTAAATGCCTGTGCCAAGGCAAAAGGTGGACATTTTGAATAATTTCTTTTTTGTTTACTCTCTATAGATATACATTTTATTTTCTAATAAAGTTTTTGAAAAAATTAATTTTTCTATTGAAATCTGTATTTTTTTTTCCCGGGCCAGGGGGTGTGGGCAGGGATTTAAAAGACGCCTTGGCACCGGGACGCGAACTCGTGACTATTTTTATAACATTTGTCATATATCAGGTTGCCGGGCAACGGTGGTGCAGTGCACACGCGTTAGCCCATTCGGCCACCCCGCCCACACTTGAAATCTGTATATATTTTCTTGAAATAATATTTATGACAGCACTAGATAGAATGAAATAGAGAGGATGTGGAGGGAAGAAGTATGCGCCCAGGTACCCCCATCCTCTTGGTACTCACCAATACTTCTGCCCAAGGGATTTTCCTTGCTCTTAACGATCATTTAACATTTAAACCATCTGATTATTTTAATATTTATTTGTTTTAGATCAAATATTGTTTCTACAGATTTTAATAGCATTTTATAGAATGAATAGGAAAATTCACATTTGGTTTTACAATCGCAAACGTGAAGAATATTTTCACCAATAAGTTATAAATAATCAAATGTTAGCTATCATTATATCTTTCTTTAAAATTGTTAGTTATATCAACACACAAAAAAAGTAAGAAAAGAACTAACTACTTGGTATAAAAAAGTTCATCCCTCAAATAGCAAGTCACATTTAGACTTGCAGGATGGCAAAAACTCAAAAACCTAAAGTTGTAACTAATAGAAAACAAACTCCTCCCTTCATAAATCTTTCTAAGCAGGACAAAAGAGAAGTGTCTACTCGTAGTAGAGGGACTAACCAGAAATCTAACTTATTGCCTGTCACCAAAACAACAAATGTTATTCCATCCAATGAATTACTTAAACAAACAAATGCTACTTCACCCAAAGAAATCGTACCTCAACCCATTCCTATGTCGCCTAACACTCAGGACAAATTGTCAACTAACAATATTACTAAACCCCCTCTATTAATTAACCCCCCTAAAAACTCTAAAGAATTATGTCAAAATTTATCAACAGAAGTCGGACCTCGCGGATTTTATTGTCTTTCTAACACAACTGAGACAAAAATATTTCCATCTACTCCAGATGATTATTGAAGAATAGTAAAACTATTAAAAGCACAAAATGCAATATTCTACACATATCAATTTCAGAATGGAAAACCATTTTGTATTGTCATTCGAAATCTTCATCACACTACAGAAATTGAAGATATCAAATTTGAACGCGAAGAACTAGGATACAGTGTAAAAAATATTAGTAACGTAAAACACCCTAAAACAAAAGTGCCACTACCGATATTTTTTATAGATTTGGAACAAAGTCCAACAAATCAAGAAATTTTTAATAGAATTTTTATTATATACTAGAATAAAAGTAGAAGAACCATACTTAAGAAAGGAATCGCCACAGTGTCATAGATGTCAAACCTATGGCCACACAAAAGGGTACCGTAGTCTTCCCGCCAAATGTGTAAAGTGAGCTGGACCACACCTCACAGCAAATTGTACAAAACCTAGAGAAACGCCCGCCACTTGTGCTAACTGTGAAGGTGCTCACCCTGCCAATTACAAAGGATGTGCTACATTAAAAAAACTAATATATCTAAAAAACAAACCATTTGTCAACCATATAAACTCTGAATCAGGTTTAGAGATAGATTCCCTCTCTTCACAGACTCCAAATATAATGGATCCTTCAACAACCAATTAATATCACTAGAAACAAATGGAGAACACGTTAAATCTGTTCAAAAATTAGAAGAGAAAGGTCTAACACCGCAGAGTTGTGATAAACCATCTACCGTGGCAGGGGTCTCCTGTGCTAAGGTAACAGGGAGATATCCTTTTACAGCTTCTATCCAACCTCCTTCTTCAGCTATAAAATCTTCTATGGAACCTCTTCTAACTGAACTTAAATCCCTTTTATCCCCTATTCTAGAACTTCTAACTAAACTAGTTTCTACTTTTATTTCAAATCCTTCCAATGACTAATTCGAAATCAACTTCTCTTAGAATACTCCTATGGAACTCCAATGGTCTGCTCCAACGAAAACATGAACTGGAAATTTGTTTAAAAGAACATGACATAAACATAGCTCTGATAACTGAAACTCATTTAACAGAGAAACAAACATTCAAGCTACAAGATTACGAGACTTACAGAACTGACCATCCAGACCACACAGCACATGGAGGAACTGCAATTATTGTGGACAAATCCTTAAATCACCATATTCTTCCTGCTGTTTCTACGAATTCCCTACAATACACCAATATTTCCCTGAACTCCTCAAAATTCCAACTCACGATTGCCTCAGTCTATATAGCTCCCAATAAAGTTACATCCAAGAATGAATTAAAGACTATTTTCTCGACAATGGGAAAATCATTCATTGTAGGAGGAGATTTTAATGCTAAAAACACAAGGTGGGGCTCTAGAGTGTCCAATACTCGTGGAAAAAGACTACAAAAATGTATCGAAGATTTGAAATTTTGGGCTCATCATTGAGCTCATCACAGGGGTCATAACCCCGATACATGAGCTAATTTGGGCATGATGGCTGAGCAGGCTAACGTATGTTCACAGCACTGTGTTGCCCGGCAACCTGATGGAAGATGTATAATATAATAATTAAGAGTTGGCGTCCCGGTGCCAAGGAGGGAGCTTTTACCTCTCAGGATTAATCCCTCACCCTCAACCCTGACCCCGAAACAAAACACATATACATCCAGTTATTGTTTGCACCACCATTCACAAAATGCTGGCATCATTTAATGTTTGTTAGATAAAAATTAGAATTTAATTTATTTAGAATTAAATGAACGATAATCAATTATTTTATGTGATATACAAATGACAAATTTTCTTAGTGTGGACAAATATGTGTTAACATACCTGAAACTTAGTTTCAAAGAAAAGAATTCAGTTACCATTTTCGACATATGTGAACATTTCTTCACCCAGATGTGCATTAAACAAATTTTCAATTATCGTTTCACTTACCACTTTATGCACAATAACATCAATAGTTACATTAAAACAGAACTTAAATTATGTAATGTGAACAACAAATTCATTTACATAATTTCAGTAATGCTACAGGAAAAAAAAAATTGTTTTATTTAAGTTAATCCTGTAGTTCTAAATTCTTAAAAAAATTAATATCAATCGATAACTTCAGAAACTTGACATTCTAGGTCGATGGATAAAAAAAAAAAAAAAAAAAACCTAAGATATTAAGTATAATAACATAAAAGGTTAATATTATAAAAAATACTATTTACTCAAACAAAGCAATAGATAACTGATAACCTATAACAAAATTCTAGAAAATTATATGGATTTAACATTTTTTGATGGATCAGCCTTAATTTCTACAATATACCTCATTAATTTACAAATAGTACATAAATTATATCAAATATTTTATAATTTAATGAACTATAAAGAATAAAAATCTGGCAAAATTAAAGAAAAAATCAAACCTGGTTCCTTTGCTTTAAGAATAGGCATTAATTTTTAAATTCTCATTAAATAATTCAAATTTGAGCCGGTTTACAAACAATTCAACATGAATGAAGATATAAGGTTATTAAAAACAAACCATTCATAACCAATAACAAAGAGGATACTCTTTTCCAAGTTGTTCTGTGATGAAAATTCATATTTAAAAATGCAAATATAAGTTGTTGAAAAAAGAAAACGAATTTTTTTTTTTGCAATTACAAAACTAACTATATGAATGTGTGTTCATACAATGTAATAATATAAAAGTATGGATAAATTCAGATTCCGCTAAGTAGATTTGATAAGCAGAGTCGGAGCTCCAGACCAAATTTCCCATTACTATTCTTGGACACGTATATCGCCAATAAGAGAAATAAAAAAAATATTTGGATTAGCAACAATGTCGCTGTTAGTTAAGTTAGATAATTATGTTTCCCATAGTTTATGAAATGTATAAACGCGCGATAACATAATTAATAGCGACATTAGGGCAAACCCCAACTTCATTTTAATTTCCCTTGTTTCCGAAAGTAGGTGGAAAACGCCCAAAACAAAAAATATAAACATCTGGAGAAAAAAACACTTAAATATTCGTGTTTCCCAAAGTTTGTGAAATGTTTAAACGCATCTATAAATTTCACGACTTCAAAAACGAAATCTAACTGAATATTCGATACCTTTACATTACACTCTCGGACTAGTAGATCTCTTAGATTCTGGCGTGGCATGAATGTTTCCGAGCAAAGGTCCTTTAATAGAAAAATCATCGATTCTCTATATTCAAGTTTCAGGGTTACCGGAGATTGCTAAACATATACGAGGCACTCAGAAACAAGTTGCTGAGGCAGACAGGGCTCTATGTTTTGATAACGAAGTGTCTAAAATGTCTAAGAAGTACCCATACTTTAAGACTATAAACGGATAGAGGAGATTGGTGGATCGATTCAATTCATTTTGGGAAGGAGAAGAGGGGCCACAGTACGGTCGTTAAAAAGATGGAAGGCAGAAGATCACAATAACCTATAAGATATAAAATAAGATAGGAACAACCCAAGGTCAATAAAACTACCAGGTTCGCTCACTCAGAAATGCGTGGTGGCGGAACTTGAAACGTGACGTAAGGAATAGACTGTCAGACTTACCTATTACTCTTTCAAGCCTATCACTGAAGGCTTATTTCAACATTACTGTGCTTTTTTTTTTTTTTGTTTTCTTGTTTAATTTATTGAGAAGAATACTTTTCTCTATTTTTGATGTTTGATTGAAGATAATGTCAAATAGATAAATGAATAAATACGACTATCAATCTAGAATAAAATGCTATGAAAATTACAGGCCAGTCCTGAAATGAAAAGAACGAAATTGATATTAAGATTATTTATAAATTCTTTTTTTTCAAAATCTCTGTAAATAATATATAAATATATTACATAAATAGAAAAAACTAAGATTTATATTCATTTAGAGAACATTTTAGCACAATGTTTGTGTAATTTTGTTTGTAGATCTCGTGGGTATTTCTTTTAATATTATAACGATATGATAATAATATTATAAGGGTGAACATCTTTGTCAGGATTTGTAGTTAAAATTTCATTAAATAAATAAATTTAATTAAAAACATAAACAAATTTTACTGCAAATCCTGATAATTTATTTCCACCTTATTATCTTAAATCTTAACAGTCAACTACTTATCCGTCTCTAAAATAATATTATAACGAGTATTTATTTTGTATTTTTAATAGCATGTTACAGAGAATTCGTTTGTCCTTATTAATATTTCTTGTATTTCTCATAATAACATAATTATTAATAGAATCCTATAGAATGCCACGTACAAAATGCGCAATTGCATCTAGCAACAATAATCTGATTGACACAAAGAAGATGTAAAAGAAAATTCCATTTCATACTTTTTCAAAGGACGCTCGAAAAAAAAGATTAGATTTTAAAATGTAAATGTAAAAAAAAAAAAAAAATATTGTAAAAAATTCTTGTAAAATATTGTAAAAATCAATTTCTTAGGAAACAAAATGTAGAAATTAATGAAGAAAGCCTTTCTTTCAGCAATGGGTATTTAATAGAATCAAATTTTTAAATACCCAATGATTTTTACAACAATTAAGAAAACATAAAATCAAAGCCAAAAAACTTGAGGAAAATCACTACATAGGATTACTCATGACATAAAAATTTAGTATTTACAAAAATTCACGGAAAGAAAGCGCTTCTTTAATGTTAGATTAAATACTTTTTTTTAAATATTTCTATTATTTTACATTATGCTCTGTATTTATTTGAAATATTTAAAAAGTAGTATTTTGGTACTTTGCAAAAAATAATACATTAACTTGTTAAATTACATTTTATTTGCTTCAGAATAAGCCAAATATCAAATCAACCTTTCTCTCACCTTTCAAATTTATTAAAATTAATGAATTAATAAGTTATTTGGCAATACAGTATTGATTTAATGTATAAAAGTAAGTAATAATCTTAAAATGCCCAGAAACAAAGACTGGAGGTGTAAATTCAGTCTTTTGACTACGTCGGAGCTCAATTCCTCGTCACCATTTTCCCTCTGAGTGAGCGAACCTGGTCGTTTTATTGACCTTGGGAACAACCTGTTCGCCGAGTATAAAATATGAAAATTATTTTAAATGAAGCAGTGGATCGCTATGCAGGCACCATAACATCTCACTGCAGCAAACATCCGATTTGGCTTTCAGGGTAGATTTGCAAATAAAGAAATGTTTTGTTCGCTTTCTAAATTCAAATTAATCAATCAAAATTCTACCATTTCTTTCCACATCTATAGCAATAAAGATATAAGATTTCCCTTCTCATTTCCCGAAAGTCCTAAGTTTCCATGGTGTATCAGCAGGCTATCCGTAGCTCCATAACCGATTCCTATATTGCCGGCTTAGAGAATCCTTTCCACCAACTCCTTCGAGCTTAAATACATTGTCTCATATTATATTAGAATTTGTCCTCAGATCTATATTTCTCTGCTCGAAATAGTGTCCATGGGTAAAACATCCAGGCTCCTGATATCCTCGAAAACCACATCGTGATTCTCGGTTAAGGTCATCACTCCTTTGTCGGATCAGTGTGAGTTGATTTCATTCAATAGACCGACGGGTGTCATGTACCAGTAGGGAAAATCGTCCAGAGAAGTCTGCGCGGGCTTAATTTGCCGATGGACGTTTAATTAGTGACCTATTGCAAGTGCATTAGCCGATAAGCCAGCGGCTCTCTACTAATTAATTATTAGAAAAAATTAATGTCTCAATGAAATGACATTTAAAAATTCGAGGTCCATGAAGGGGCCAACAATTGATATCTGGAACCCTAAGTGGCCACTTGCCGCTAAATCCACTCTTGCTGAAAGGAGCAGCAAGAGGATGTCCCTAAATCTAGAATAGGTCAGAGTAATGATATTATTTGAGGTTTTTCTTTGCTTAGATAGATATGGTTAATAGCTAGATTGACTTAGGTAATTGTCGGCATATGCATTGATCAACTAATTTAATTAGTTTTTAATTTTTTATTAGAGAATATTTGACCATTAACTCGATTAAATTGTGATTAAGTTCATTAAAAAATTCCCTCTTTGTCATGTATGGGTCCGACAATAAATAACCATTCTGCGACCATGGGCGGATCTATGGAAGGTGGGGGGATTTCGGGCTGAGCCCCACCCCTTCCTTCCAAATGATAAAATATAACCATGTCTTATGAAAAAAAAAAAAATCTCTAAAAGTATTATTGTTCATTTAATACGACTTCAAGAATCACTTAAACATTTCTTTCTTGCATTTTTTTACTAGGTACCCTTCCTACCCATCATTTCTGGCATATGGGTTTGTTGTTCTAGAGGCACAACCAAACCTATTCTAACCAGAGTGGGAAGCTCGAGTTCCCACTTGGGACCACCACGAAATAAAAGTCAACTGCTCCCATACCATATTCGAACCGGTGTGGCTAGGCACGATAATGGTACAATGGGCAACGCTCGAACACTCGACCATTACAACACCATTTCACAATGGTAGTTAGTTTCTTTCTTCTTTTTCCAAAGTAATTATTGTTATATATATTTTTAAAAATGCTGTCAGGATAAAGCCACTTCTCAAAAATTAAACTCTAATCCACTAGTATCTGTGACTGTTGACGTTTTAATCTAAGAACCATAAAAAATATTTGATTTAAGATATATTGTTGTGTTCTTTAAATACCATGATTACTGTTTGGAATATATCTCACAAACAATACATAGTTATTTATTATATGTATCCGATTGATTGATCATTGGGATTTTTGTTTCGTAACCAGGATTAAATAATGACGTATTCCTAAGATCAGTCTGCTTTTACCCTGATAGAACTAATTATTGTTACCTCTTTATTTTGATCTCTTGATATAAAAACCGTTACGGAAGTTGCTAGGAATTCAAATGTTTTACAATCGTTTTTGAATCATTGACCCTTTTATTAGTATTTTACTAATTAAATTGACTGAACTTTTAAGTAAATAAAATGTATGTTTTAGCTACCGTTGAATCAATTTTGAGTTTTATCAGTAAAATACAAACTACGTTGAATAATTTATATAATTTATTAATCACTGTTGGCCACATCACAGTTTTAGCTGTGGTCCAAGTATTTCAGTTGCTTAATAACTTTATAAGTACAAGTGGTGATGTTATAAAAGTATTAAAGGAAGACTTCGAAGTTTTTGAACATGATTTGCTTCTTTTGTTTATTCCAGCACTTAAATGGATACAAGACAGTTCATTGAATACATACAGATGCACCCAACGATGTTATTTGTTTTTATTATCTATGTGTGAAGGCTTCAGTGCTTGGCTAAAGGATTTTTTAAACATTTATCAATATTTGAAATGGGGTATCAATAAGTCATTTCTTTTATTTCTCGACTCATTATGCCTAATTGGAAATATATTTATGTATTGTTTAAGCTCAACTATAAATCTTTTTTCTATAAAAACCCTATCTCAATTAAGTTCAATTTTCTACAGTTATTTCAGTAACATTATTAGATTGGAAGCTATATTTGGACTATTGGTATTAATATTTATAGCTGCAACTAGCATAAAATGTAAGGTT